TTTTTTCCTTCATTAGCTTATTGATGTGATGAATTACACTAACTGATTTTTGAATATTGAACTTCCTCTGTATACCTGGGGCAAATCTCACTTGGTTGTGGTATATGGTTCTTCTTATACGTCACTGATTTTAGTTTGCTAATATTGTATTTTGAGGATTTTTACATTGGTGGGGGAGGGTACTGGGGATTGAACTCAGGGGCTCTCAACCACTGAACCACATCCCCAGCCCTATTTTGTATTTTATTTAGAGACAGGGTCTCGCTGGGTTGCTTAGTGCCTTACTTTTGCTGAGGCTGTCTTTGAACTTGTGATCCTCAACCTCCCGAGCTGCTGGGATTACAGGCATGCACCACCATCTAATTATTGACATATTTAGGTTTTAAATAGTCATATATCTTCTAAAAATTAAAACAATGAGTAAAGTATGTTTATCCATACTTATTATTTTTGGTATTTTTATTTTTTCATGTAAATCCACATTTCCATGTGGATTTTTCTGCCTGAAGAATTTCCCTTAAAATACCTTGCATATCTATAGACAATAAATTTTCTTAGCTGCTGGGCATGGTGGCACATGCATGTAATCCCAGCAACTTGGCAAACTGAAGCAGGAGGATCATGAGTTCAAAGCCAGCCTCTGCAACTTAGTCTCTAGATGAAAAATAATAATTTTTTTTAAAAAAGAGCTGGGGATGTAGCTCAATGGGAAAGTACCCCAAGTTCAATCCCCAGTACCCTGACCCCAAAAAAAGTTCTCTTAGCTTTTACTTGTCTGAAAATAGTTTCATTTCACATTCATGTTTGAAAGATATTTTCTTGGTATAAAATTCTGTCAACAGGTTTGGTGTTATTTCCTCCCTCCTTTCAGGAATTTAAAGATTTTTCTATTGCCTTTAAAAAAATTTTTTTATTTGTTCTTTTTAGATAAATATGACGAGTGTATTTTGACATATTATACATATGTAGAGGATAACTTCCCGATCTTGTGGTTGTACATGATGTGGAGTTACACTGATGTGTATTCATATATGAACATAAGAAAGTTATATACAATTCATTCTACTATCTTTCCTATTCCCATTAACCCCCTTCCTTTCATTCCCCTTTGTCTAATTCAATAAACTTCTGTCCTCCTCCCCTTATTGTGTATTACCTTCTGAATATCAGAGAGAACATTCTGCCTTTGTTTTGGGGGATTATTATTATTTCACTTAGCAGGATAGCCTCCAGTTCCATCCATTTACTGGCAAATGCCATAATTTCATTCTTCTTTATGACTGAGTAATATTCCATTGTGTATATTTTCTTTTTCCATTCATCTATTCAAGGGCACTTAGGTTGTTTCCATAGCTTAGCTATTGTGAATTGAGCTGCTATAAACATTTATGTGATTGTATCACTATAGTATGCTAAGTCCTATTGTTGTATAGTATTTTAAGTTCTATTTTAAGTCCTATTGGTGTATGCCAAGGAGTGGGGTAACTGCAAAGGTGGTTTTGTTCCAGGTTCTTTGAGGAATGTCCATGTTGCTTTCCAGAGTGGTTGCAGCAATTTGTTCTATTGCCTTTTGACTTGCATGATTTCAGAAAAGTCTGTAGTCATTTTCGATTCAGTCCTTTTTTACATAATTGCTTTTTTCCTCTTAGTTCTTCTAAATATTTCTTTTTCACATGCTTTCATCAATTTGATTATGATGTCCTTTGGTGTGGTTTTATTTGAATTCTGCTTAGAATTTGGTTAATTTCTTGGATCTGTGGATATAGTTATTACAAAAGTTGGAAATTTTTTAGCCATTATTTCCTCAACTATGTTTCTTCCCAGACTGCAGCTACACATACTTTATATTACTTTCTAAAATTCTGCTTATATTTTTCCACTCTTTTCTCTTTCTGTGCTTAATTTTGGATAGGTTCTACTGCTTTATCTTTAAATTCATTTATGATTCTTTTGTAGTTTCTAATATTCAAGATCTGAAATTTTTACTAGAGGTTGTTAACTGTAGATTAAACAGTGCAAAAGAAAGTAAGCTCATTGATAATTTCTTAGTTGTGGGGTAAGTTAGTTCTAAAGAAAGTTTTTCCAGACCTGAACTAAAAAAATGTTTGTAATACAAGCCATAAAAGATTCATACTGAAGCATATGCAACTTTACTGCTGGGCAGAACAAAGTCATACATTATTTAGTACTCAACACTCTAAAATTTACAGTGTCTTATATTCAGCAAACAAACTTTCTGGAGGGTCTTCTTTTCTGAGTGTCCTCTATATTCAGTGATGACTTTCCATTCTGGTTCATGACAATGTGAATAATTCGTAGCCCTGAATGAGCTCTGAGAACTGTTGGGTCACAGATCCCCAATAATTATTTTTGCCCCCGAATTTTTTTCTTTTTTTTTTTTTTGTTGGCCCAGCTTTGTAGTGTTTCACATTTTATATACATAGGTTGGTATTCAGCTAAAAGACGGAATAGAACTGCTAGATCATTTTCTGGTGTTTTTTCTTAGTGAAAGGATTTCTTTTTTGCTATTTTGTGTCAAAAATTCTAGTACCCTTTGCCTTTCCAAACAGTAAGCTTTATTTGAGTTCCCACTTCCAATACTGATTTTCAGAATTGCCACCAGCAGGCTGGGATGTAGCTCAGCAGCAAAGGACTTGTCTCACATTTGCAAAGCCATGGGTTCAATCCTCTACTTCCAAAACAGAAAAGACAAACAATTCCACGAATTCTACCAAAAGGCGGGGTGGGGGGGTGTCCTTCCCAAAAAGAAAAGGCAAAAAAAAGAAGAAGAAGAAGAAAGAACCCCACCAGAATTGCCACCAAACACCACAATAATTATGATCATTAAGCTTACCTTGTATCCCTTTTGTCAGGAATCGCAGAGGTTGTCTTCAGTGAGAAAGTTGGTGTGAATTACCCAGTTCACTAAGCAAAAGTCTGTACTCTGTTTCTGAAGAAAAAAAAGATGTTTTTCAATGCTGGGTTCCAACCCTTGCACATGGTAGGCAAGTGCTCCATCACTGCACCACACTTGTAGTCCCCTTCCCCTTTTTGCCAATTTGCATATATAAGTTTTAGGAATGTATGTGAAAACTTTTTTAATCATATATTCAAATAATATGATAGAGCGCATTCCTGAGAGAATACTAGAGAAGCAAAGACTCTGGTGCTTGTACACCTTAGTCAGGAAATTCCAAAGTTAGCTAGCCATATGGAATATTTAGTCCTAATATCTCATGAATTCACCTGAACGTGTTTGAGTTGAATTTTCTGTTATTTGTAATAAAAGCATCTCAGTTAATAAATAGTAATCAATTTTGAAATTGTTGGTATTTGATACTTTACTATTTCTGAAATAATTCACAATTCTAATCACCTTAGAATGGTATCTTGATTTATTCAGCAAATAGTTGAGCTACTCAAGGTGTAGATATTTATATAATTTTCAGATAACAATGAATTAATACCATGTTTTTATGTTTTAAATTATTGCCCTCTAGAAATCTAGTAATTTTTGTAAGTAAATATGTTTGGAAATGGTAGACCTCAACTTCTGAATTTCATGTGAAATGTTTGAGTGGCAGTTCTATGTATACAAAGGTCATTCTTCAGGTAGATACATAAAATGATATTCTAGCTGCTTCACTTTGAGTTGCATTCTATATTAAATATGTACTTACTTTGTTAATTTTTTATGAAAGACTATTTTCATCAAAGCTTTGCTTTTCCTAAACTTTCATTTTTTTCTCTAGTTTGTTCATGATGGATTTTGTCTAAATATTTTGCCAATGAAAGGCTCCTGTTATTTAACCTATACCTTTCCAATCTCATTTTCCCATTTTTCCTATTCAGTAAGATTAATGTGTTTCCCTGATCTATGCCTTTTCATGTTGCCCTTTGCTGGTTCCATTTCAATATTTTCTACATATTTAAATAACATTCATCATTTTTTTTGCCCCAGTTCTGATCCCACCCTTTTATTAAGAACTTTGTCCATTACCAACCATGAGTGATCTCTTACACATTATATTATTTTTTTGTTGTAACCAATGTCCAATAATACTGAATAAGTTAAACAAATGCCTTTCATTTCTAATCCAACCTTTTCAAAGGAAAACCTATTAATAATTTAATTACTTCATGTTTTCCTGTGCATTATTTACACAGAATATGTATGGCTTAATTTGGTTATTTCTTTTGGCTATCTTATTGGAGAACACAATTCTCCAACTTATCAGCTTAATGTTATTTGATTTTTTTGTTGTTGTTAAGAATATTTCAGGAATTGGTGATGGGTATTTTATATTACATCTTACAGGAAGCACACATACTGCCTGATGCTCTCTCTTTGTAATATTTAGATGGATCAGTGATTTGAGTATTGTCAGCCTGATTCATATCTATGAGCTATGAGTTTTTCTTCTTCTGCTGCTGCTTTTTAAAATATTTTTTAAGTTGTAAATGGACACACAATATCTTTATTTATTTTTAAATTTATATATGACAGCAGAATGCATAACAATTCTTACTTCTTTATTTATTTTTACGTGGTGCTAACTATCGAACCCAGTGCGTCACACATGTGAGGCTTTACCACTTTACCACTGAGCTACCACCCAGCCACGTGCTTCTTTTTTTTTTTTAGTACTGGGGATTGAACCCCTCACATATGCTAGGCAGGTGCTTCACTATTCAGCTATACCTCATAGTCCCAGTTCCTCTGAGTCTTTCACTGAATGATTTCTGTCAGTCTCTTTATTCTTAATTGTCATAAATAGTTACTTCACTGTTAATATAGCAGGATAGTAAATATTTGAAAGCCAGGCCCTGGAGTAGACTGTCTGCTACATATGACATACTCAGCAAGTGAGTGTACCCATTTTCCTTTACTTTGAGGTATCTGATATGGTTAAGAATTAAATGTGCTAAGTGTTTACAGTGCATGATACATAGTGTGAGTAAGTACTAGTTGCTATAAATATTAATGTATTAATTAGAAGTTCAATTTGCTGTGTATGTATTTGGCACTTGTTTGCCAAATTGGATAATATGCATTGAATTCAGTGAAACTGAGTCACAATGTAGGAAACCAAAGTACTATTTAAATTATACAGAATTTGAATTATAACATTCTATATTTATTAGCAGAACAAGAATCTGTTACTCTGAAATTGGTAAAGAAAAAAAGAAACATTGAACATTAGGAATATATCCTGAATGTTAGGAAAGAAAATTGTAGAAGAAAAAAAAATGACCCTATGACTTTTGACTCAGAACGGCTGTATGGTTCTTTGTAATAAGTGCTCATAAACTTGGGCACATATAATTCTAAATAATTTGAGAAAGGAGAAATATCAGTGCACTTAAGCAAGGGAACTCTCAGATTAATTGAGTATAGACTTAATATATGGAAGTAGGGATACAGAACTAAAGGTGAATGTTAAACAATAATACAATCCTTTATAAACAGTGGGTAGCATCACAAAGTAAGATGAAGTTCATAGAGAATTCCTAAGAAAACACAAGTCATTTAAAAACAGTTTATCTCAAATAAGATTAGGGTTCAATTTCACCAAATTTTTGTAAAATTATTTTTTAGTTGTAGTTGGACGCAAGACCTTTATTTTATTTATATATTTTTGTGTGTGGTGCTGACGATTGAACCCAGGGCCTCGCACGTGCTAGGCAAGCACTCTACCACTGAGCTACAACCCCAACCCCATCAATTTCACCAAATATTTAAGAGGGATAGAGCCATCGATTCACATTTTGTAATTGTTTGATTAGTAGGGAGAAATAGTCTTTGAGATGTAATACTAGAGATGGAGAAGATGTAATACTAGAATAAAAATAATTATAGGCCATGGTAGTTAAGTAACATTATAATAAGTGAAACATCTGACCATTTTCTTCATGTATATTAATGTCGTCTCAAACCTCTAGTCAACTTGTGTGACTCATAAAATCATTGAATAATCTTTGAGAATTTCATGAAAAATATAATTGGTACCCATTGATAATCAGATGCTCACTTGGTTTTTTAGAAAGGGGAAGAGTGGGTTCTGTAAATTCCAAGCTAGTATATTTGTTACTGATCTTTGGCACATAAATTTCATAAAGTTATGAACATTTATGAAAGAATGCTCAAATGGAAAAATTTAAATGCATTCATCAAGAACATGTTATGGGACTGGGGATATGCTTTTGTGATAGAGCACTTGCCCAGAATGTACAAGGTCCTGGGTTTGATCCCCAGCACTGCCAAAAACAAAAACAAAATCTTGTATGCTAAGAATAAATAACCATCCTTTTCCAGGGAATGGAGGCAGAGGCAAGCTTGTGGTGCATGCTTGGAATCCCAGTGACTTGGGAGGCTAAGGCAAAAGGACTGTAAGTTTGAGGCTAGGCTTTTCAATTTAGCGAGACCTTTTTTCAAAATATAAAGGGGGAGCCTAGGGATGTAGCTCAGTGGTAAAGCACCCATGGGTTTAATACCTAGTACCACTAAAGAAATAAAAATAAAAAAGAGCATATTATGTTAATTTATTTCTTTTAATAGGATTATCAGTTTCAGTGAGTTAGAGAAACATTATAGAAAGTCTCTTAGTTTTAGTTAATTGTTTGACAGAGTGTTGGGCCATATTTTTGGATAAAATGTGTGGTAAAGTGTAAAATATGGAGTAAGTAGTATATTCATAGTAGTTAGGTGCACAGAGGGTTAAAATCCAAAACCACCATTTGATTTGAGGTTCAGTGTTATCCTGAAGAAAGCTTTTCAAAATATTACAACAGAATTGTCTGTATTCTATCTCAACAGTTCCATGGTTGATCTGACTAAAGCTTTAGAAAATAGATTTATTTGCTTACAGATTATTGAAAGCTGGACTTGGATATTTGATACCATAGAAGATAATAAAAAGCATGTCCTTAAATCTTTTCCTAATTGAGTTTATTTCTATCTTTTCTTCTCCTTACACACTTTGATACTTTGTATGTAAAATAAATTAATAATTTAGGTTGCTTCAGGAAAAATATGACTTATTTTTTAGCTTCCTGATATTTTTACAAAATTAATCTGTGACATATATATTTATATTATAATATCTTTAATGATACAGATTTAATAATATGAACTGAAAATCAAGAAAATCTCTACATAAACTATATCTCATGTACCATAGGAGTATGAAGCACGAACAGGGAGGACCTGTAAACCACCACCTCAGTCTTCAAGACGAAAGAATTTTGAATTTGAGCCACTTTCTACCACTGCCTTGATTCTTGAGGATCGACCATCGTAAGTATTTAGTGATCATCGAGAGCACTATTATGTTTTAAACTTAGATTTAATTTTGTTCACTGTTTCACATAAAAGATATCAAGAAATCAGAGAAAACAATTTTTTAAAAAATTTAAATCTCAGTCATGTATCCTAATAGGAGAGAACATATTGATGATATTCAATTCTTAGGCATATATTCTAGAAATATCTGTAAGTCAATATATAAAACAAAATCTTGACTCTTGCCAGGTATGGTGCCTATGGTCCTAGCTACTTGGGAGGCTGAGATGGGAGGATCACTTGAACTCACAAGTTCAAAATCAGTCTGCATGCTGGAAACAGTGGAGCTTGCCTGTAATCCCAGCAACTTGGGAGGCTGAGGCAGGAAGATTATAAAGTCAAAGCCATCCTTAGCAATTTAGCAAGACTCTGTCTCAAAATGAAAAATAAAAAGGGTTGGGATGTGGCTCAGTGGAAATAAAACCAGTCTGAGCAACATATCAAGACCCCATCACAAAAACAAATTCAAAAACAAAATGTGGCTCTTTTTGTCTCTGTTTCAGCATTCTGCTTCTTAGTATCATGGGGAAATTATCTTTTTTTTTTTTCATGTCATTTAGTATGTACTTAAGATGTATTTGTCCTTGCCCTTTTTACCATGTGACTACTGAATGTCAACCAGTTGATATATGATTAAGAATGTATTTTGAGTGCATTCTACTGTCATGTATTTAAAAAAAGAGAATACTTCTACAATGACTTTTGCTCAGCAGCTTCTGAGCAACCTCAAAGATTATTGTTTCAAAATAGCCAATGTGATTCTCCTCATTTTTGTCCTTAAAAACTTCCCCTTGTCTCAGCTTCTTTGAGTGTACCCATAGTTCACTATGACACATGCAGTACCAGTATGGCTTTGCTATTGCCATTGCAATGTTCTGCTATTTTCAAATAAATATTAATATTCTTTGGGGGAAAAGAAGAATATATTTTGAGGGGCTGGAGGTATAATTCAGTGATGGGAGTGTGTGTTTACACAAGGCCTTGAGTTTAATCCCCAGTAAGAATCTAATTTTAAAAAATTTCTTAGTTATAGGTGGACGCAATGTCTTTTGTTCATGTTATTATGCTTTGTTTTATTTTATGTGGTGCTGAGGATCGAACCCAGTGGTAGGCGAGCACTCTGCCTTTGAGCCCCAGCCCCAGCCTAAGAATCTAATCTTAATACCCAGAAAAACATCTTAAATTCTTTTCTTCTCAGCTCTGAACTCTTTGTATTTTCTACAGTGCTGCTGTTCTTCAAAATATTGTCAGATTTATTTTGAATCAAAATATATCCTCCCTAAAGCAAACCATTTGTTTCTTAAACTCCTTTCACCTTCCTTGGGCTTTCAGGAGTATTATTTTTTTTATTAGATTTTTTTCTTTCCATTGTGAACATTCTTAGCCTTTCTTGTTTTTTATTTTGGTTATATTTCTTCTGACTAAAGAATTGTGACTTTGATACAACTCTTTGATTTGATAATTATTTTTCAATTGTTAAGAAAAAGCTTTTAAGATATTTTGTCATGAGAACATGTGAAAGTTGTATTTCAGACTTACTATGAGGTATGAAAATGAAGCAGGCCAGTTCAAAGATTCCTTTCTTGATGGAGACATTTATAGAAAAGCAAGAATGGTTAGAGAAAGCAAGAAAAGAATATTTGGTTAAAGCTCTTTAGACTCCTGACTGTCAGCTGAGTAGGTAGATAAATTCAGTTCCCAGAAGAGTTTTTCTAAGCTTTATTAAAATTCATCCAGAATGTTTTATGCTTTTTTACCAAGAATGATAATTTCTTACCAGAGGGCATTTATGAAAATACCCTACAAAGTTCTGTTCTAGACAATGTTTATTTACACCATACTCTATTATATATCACACCTTTGTTTTATTTCTTGCCATCATGCTTTTGTTCATATTATTATGCTCACTTGAAAAGCCATTATCTTATTTCTATTTCAAACCTACCCAGTACTTTAAGGGTTAAGGCTTATCTTTTATATTGTCTTTGTTGACTTGTTAAATCTTCAGTGATTTCTACTTCTTTAAACTATTCTTATAATTTGTACACACAGTTCCTAGAAGTAATGTTCTATGAAATTGACTTCAAGTAAAATACAAGACACAATAACCTTATGAAAAGATCTCAGTGTACCAAAAAGGTATAAGCAGCTTAAAAAGCACTTCCCTTTTTGACTCTGCTATTGAACTATATAAAATTAATTTATTAATGATAATAAATAGTGTAGCTTTTTTCTGTTTCTGTGTGCTGGCCCATCCGTGAATTAAATTGATCTCTATTTCTCTCAAATCTAAGATGCTGTGATTAATAATTTTGTTTATCTTTTTAAATTTGAAAAGACTTTTGGCAGGGAGTGATTTATGTGACTCACATTTATATAACTAAAGCTAACAAACAGAACCTTTACATGATGTTGGAATATGAGGGTGCTTAATTACTTATCCCTCCTTCTAGTATAACCAGTTGAAAAGTAGATTCAGAGAAAAGAAGGAAAATGGGCTGGGATATAGCTCAGTTGGTAGAGGGCTTGCCTAAAGAGAGAGAGAAAAGAAGGAAAACTTCAATTTTATTGAGTATAAAACCAAACAGGAATAGATAGGTACAACTGAATAAACTCCCAATTTATCTCTTCCAGAATACCTTCCTAATAGATTGGGCCAGCTAACATCTGTCCAGTCATAGACTGGGAAGTTTGGAGCACAGATCTGTGTAACTTTTAGGTTTCTTCTGTTTGTGAGTACAGGTGGGTTCAAGATGGCTTTCTTGCTTTTTGGGCATGTGGTAATGCCACTGTTTCAGCTATGAAGTCATCTGTCAGACATATGCAAAAAGAGAAGTTCTTCCTCAGCGGGCAATTGATATTGCAAGCTTATTTTTCCATAGGCCACAGTGATAATATAAAGAGGAGGAGTTTCCCTGCAAAGGAAGTTTGTGATGGTTCTACTTTTTCTTTTCTTGGTCTCTAATTTCAATGTATTCTGGAAACTTGGACTTTACAAGCTTTTATAATTGAAACTTTTCATTACAGATGGAAAAATTATAGCTTTTAATCATCTGAAGTCTCATTTAGAGGATTTTAAATATGAGAATTTCTGTAATTTTATTCTTTTGTTAATTTTATTTTTCCTCTGCCTGTTTCCATTCCAGTCTCCTTCAAAATCAAACTAGCCTTGAAGAGAGGCTGGGGTTGTGGCTCAGTGGTAGAGCACTTGCCTAGCATGTGCGAGGCCCTGGGTTTGATCCTCGGCACCTCATAAAAATAAACAAAATAAAGGTATTGTGTCCAACTACAACTAAAAAATAATGTTGTGGTTTTTTTTGTTTTTTTTTTAAAAAAGGCCTCATGCATGTGAGGCAAGCACTCTACCAACTGAGCTACATCCCCACCCCTCTTCTAGCTTCTTTACTGAATTACTTTACACACCAGTGCCAAACAAAATAGTAGAACTCCTGAAGATACAAGTAAAAAAAGTGACCAAAAGTATAGGTTTTTATGTGATACCTTTGAAAAGTGATCATAGCAGCAAATGATTATACCATGTATTTAACATATAATATCTTAGTTATTCATTATGGTTACTTGTCTTAACTCCATAACTAATTTACACTTCTATAAGAGGTAAGAATCATATTTAAGCTGTGTCTTTTTCTTGTAGTTCCTAAGAATGCTGAGTGAGGTACGTAATCTTTTTTGATGGATTATATTCATTCATCCTTTGATTTTTAAGACTGAAAAATCCTATTTTAAAATACTTTTCCAGATAGATGAACACTAAATTAGTGAGTTACCCCAAAGCCTTCTATGTATATATGTGTTTTTCTGCTTTATTCATTGTATAGCATAAAGTTACTTAGAGTATACTACCACTTCTCTTTTTCAAACTGTCAAAGACTGACAGGATATTTACTATATGGTCCATTCAACTTTGGATCATAATCATTGAACACCTACTGTACAATAAGTTTTTTTGCAAAAATGATGATTGAAGAAGGTGACACCAGTACTTAGGTTAACTAATAAGCCAGTTATTGTTTGTGTGCTATTTTAAGAGTTGTATGTAGGTATTTTAAACATTAATTTCCAAAAAAAAGAAAAAGAGAAAAATGAAACCTAAATGAAAAAATCCAGTGTAGAACTACCTGAAAAGTTCAATTTCCAGAACAGGTCTTAACCCCAGTGAGTAGATTTTAAATGAGAAACCCCACTCTAACATTCCAATATCTGTAAGTCTTTGGATTTCTTCCTGTAAAATAAATCAAAGCTGGGGCTGGAGATGTGGCTCAAGCAGTAACACGCTCGCCTGGCATACACGGGGTTCTGGGTTCGATCCTCAGCACCACATACAAAGATGTTGTGTCCGCCGAAAACTAAAAAATAAATATTTTTTTAAAAATTCTCTCTCTCTCTCTCTCTCTCTCTCTCTCTCTCAAAAAAGAAAATTCTCTCTCTCAAAAAAAATTCTCTCTCTCTCTCTCTCAAAAAAAAAAAAAAAAAATCAAAGCTGGCATTTTCAACTCACTGTGGGCTGTCTTTTGGTTCATATTTTAGCCAAGCAACTAAACAACTGTTAGAGCCTTTTTAAATTCCTAAGCAGCAGCATTAAACTCAGAATCTGTCCTTAGTCCTTATGAATAAATTTGTTAATCCAGCTTTATTCAACATTAGTCCTGGTTTCTACCATTATCCCATATTCTCACAATCTATTAGTATCTTTTATTAATATTCATGTTCATATGTGTTCCCCACATTCTGTCTGTATAAATTAGAAAATTCAGATAGTTTTTTGGGCATGTAATGTACCTTCTCATGGTTCTCACTTGGTATTTTACCTTAAGCAGCCTTCTGGGTTCAAGTCTACTTTTAGGTCTAGAATCAAAAAGAGTTAAAGATTGGGTCCTGAGGAGGTCTGCTGCCTCCAGGAAGGTTGTTACTGTTTGCTCAGTCAGTGCAGAGATCAATTCCTTCCTACCATGGTGTAGAAGTGTCTTCTACTCACCAGAATTTAGAGGTGTAGTGTCCCCAGCTTCATCAAGCTTTTCCTACACATCTCCATTCCAACTTTCATGATCCCATTCCTTCCCAAACAGTACCCTCACTTTAACAAGAAATACCTGTGAAGTTAGGACTTCAACTTTGTTGAAATTCAGCCAGTTACAGGATGAGATTCTGAAACTGATTGCATGAATAAACTGATTTTCAGCATTCTCAGCCTGTCAAGGAAAGTAAGGGTCTTCTTCAGAGCATACAAAGATGCTTTCAGTCATTTATGGATACTTTAGCTGGGAATTTGAATTCCTGAGTTAATTCTTTCATTTTTTCATCTTCTCTAGCAATATCAAGGGCAACCATTATATTTGTTAGTTGTCAATCTCATTGTATTTGTTAGTTTTCAAAAAATGTTTGTTAAGTATCATACATGCAGTCACCTGGCTCCTGCTTCTCTCTCTCTCTTTCTCTCTCTCTCTCTTTAAAATTTTTTTTTGTAGTTATAGATGGACAAAATGTCTTCATTTTATTTGCTAGGCAAGCGCTCTGCTGCTGGCTCCAGCCCTCTCTCTCTATTTTTTTTTTTTTGTAGCTTGGAGAGAGAGTACTAGGGATCTAGGGATTAAATCCAGAGGTGCTTTACCACTGAGTTACATCCCTAGCCCTTTCTATTTTTAAGACAGGGTCTCATTAAGTTGCTTAGGGCCTCACTAAGTTGCTGAGGCTGGCCTCAAACTTGAGTTCCTTCTACTTTAGCCTTCTGAGCCACTGGGATTACAGATATGTGCCACTGCTATTGGTGCCTTGCTTCTTATAAGTGGTTGATTAGGAATAGGCAGAACTAGTATTTTGCTAATTTCTATTGCCAGGTAATACCTTGGGCCATCTGTGCTCTCTTTACTACCCCATATTTCCTGTGGTGTCATTTTTCTTCTTCCTTCTTTTAAACATTTCTTGTAGTGATAGTCTCTTAACAGTGAATTCTTCTTCTTTTTGAGTGCTTTTAATAATTTTTCGATTTCTCATTTTTCTGTTTTTTCCCCTCAATTTGATTATCATATGCTTTGGTGTGGTTTTCATTTTTTTGTTTGGGGTTTGTTAAGCTTAATGTATCTTTATATTTATAGTCTTCTGTCAATTTCAGAAACTTTTAGCCTTTATTTCTTCAATTTTTTTTTGTTTGTTTTGCTTTCACCCTCCTTTCTTCTGAGATGGCAATTAAGCTTGTTATGCTGCTTGATGTTGTTCCACATCTTCCAATTAATTTAGGCTTTCTCTCCCTCTTTTTGTATTTTATGTATTTCATTTTATCTAGTTTTTAAGTTGGTATGTCTTCAAGTTCATCCATTTCTTTCTTCAGTGTGTAATTTGCTGAGAGTCTTACTTTGTGTGTTTTTATTTTAGAAATTGTTTATCTTAGTGTTTGGGGGGCAATGCTCAGTGGTTGAGTGCTTGCCTAGCTTGTATGAGACCCTGGATTTGATCCCTAGCACTGCAAAAAAATAAAAAAGAAAAGCAAAAGTTTTATTTAGGTTCTGAGGTCTCATCATACTCATGATTTATTTTATCTTGTAAGTATGCATGTGTGTATAGTATATAACAGGTATTTCATCATGCTTGTGTTATAATCCTATCATCCATTATATGATAGGATAGTTGCTGTTGATTGTATTTATCTGTTTCTTCACATCTCTGGTAATGCTTATGGGATGACAAAAATTGTGATTTACATGGCTGGATGCTATACTTTTTGTATTCTTATAAAGGTATATCTTTTGGCTTTATTCTGGTATGTAGTTATTTGGAATTGGCTTGATCCTTTTAAGCTAATCTTTGTTAGAGTGTTTCTAGAAAAGCCTTTAGTCTGGGACAAATTTGTCCTAATTACTAATTGTCCTAATAACTAATTGTCCTAATTACCTAAGTCAATGCCTTTCTAAGGACACTATCTGATACTCTTTTAGTAGGGCTTTACATTCTGACTAGTCCCATGTGATCTTTGAAAATATTCAAGCTATTCCTCTCTGGTGGTTCTTTTCCTGGCCATAGTTTAGTCACACACACACACACACACACACACACACACACACACACTGCAAAAGACTTGGGAGGACTTTTCTGCAGCTCCCTTCTTTCTGGTTTTCTGATCAGAAACTTCTAGCTATTTTGGACTTCCCAATTGCCGCCTCAACTCAGGAAGCCTCATGGGACCTGTTTTTAATTCTCCTCTGCCAATATGAGACCTGGAAACTTCAGGCAGTAAGATCAGGAATTGTAGAGTCATTGTCTTGTGTTACCTGTTATCCATTGTCTGAAACCTGTTGTTTAATATATTTTGTCCTTTTTAATTTTTTTTTTAACTGGGAATTGAACCCCAGGAAGTTTTTACCACCGAGCTATATCCCTAGCCCTTTGTATTTTTTTTTTTTTTTTTAATTTTGAGACAGGTCTCACTAAGCTGCTTAGGGCCTAAGTTGCTGAGCTGGGCTGGAACTTCTGTCCTCCTGCTGGGATTATAGGTATACACCTTCAGACCTGCCATTTTTAAAATTACTTGAAACAATGGGGTAAACTTAGTTGCTCTTATTCTATTATGACTTGAAGCAGAATTCTTAAGCTTTATTCGTTCTTGCTAAAACATATCTGAATATCTGACTAACTTGAGAGGAAAAGGTAGAATGTAAAATTGAAAAAATTTGTCATGCTTTTCCTCACCTTAGCTTGTTGAAAAGAAAAAAAGATTCCTAAAATTGGACATTACTATGATACATTTGGTAAATGATGATATACAAATGTATTTCTTTTTACATTTTCATATATCTAAATCAGTGATTTGATTTGGTAATGAAAAATGTTATATATATGATTAATTATCACAGTTTTAGGGAGAATGTCATCTTAAACCTCTAATAAATTGAAAGAGGTTTAGCAGTTTGTTAGAAAGGTATGCCTGCACTTAACCATATGATCCAAGAATTCTACTCTCAGATATTTATTCTAGAGAAATGAAAGCAAATACCCACACAAAGATTTGACTTTACTATGTATAGTGGTAATCATAATGACCCCAAATTGGAAACAACTCAAATGTCATTCCATATGGATAAATTAAATATTTCTCAGCAGTTAAAAGAAATACCTTACTAATACATCATGGATGAATTTCAAAAGGGGGCTGAGCTGGGGATGTGGCTCAAGTGGTAGAGCACTTGCCTGGTATGCGTGCGGCCTGGGTTCGATCCTCAGCACCACATACAAAACAAAGATGTTGTGTCCACCTAAAACTAAATATTTTTTTAAAAGGGTGGGGGCTGAACAAAAGCAATTAAACACAAAAGAGTTTAAATTTTAAAAATTGGTATTGGGGAATGAACCCAGGGGTGCTTTTACCACTAAGCCACACTCCCTCCCCCTACCTTTTTTTTTTTTAAATTTTAAGACAGGGTCTCACTAAGTTGCCCAGGATGGCCTCAAACTTACGATCCTCCTGCTTTAGCGTCTCACATATCTGGAATTACAGGTATGCACCAGTACACCTGGCTTAAGTGAAATTCTAATAAAGGCAACAACAAGTAATAGAAATTAGAGATATAGTTTTTGTAAAATGGGATGTGGGTAAGCATTGGGCGCAAAGGGGCTGTAAGGAAACTTATAGTATGATGGATGGTTCTATATCCTGACTGGGGTATTGATTACATGAATAAATACATTTGTCAAAACACATCAAATTACTCTTAAAATGTTTATTCATTTTATAATATGTAAATTATACCTCAAAAATTTGACTAAAAAATGAAAACTCTAGCAAGTGGGTTTAAGTATTGGCTGAGGTCTAAAATGTTTAAATATATAAATATTTATAGATACATGAAATATATACACTATAAATAATAGGAACCTAGATTCTGGCTCTGTTCTAAAATACAGAGTTCTTTTTAGTTTTTAACTTTCTTTTTATTTCTTTTTTTTTTTTTTTTTTTTGCTTTTTAAAAATTTGTTCTAATTAGTTATACATGACAGCAGAATGTATTTTGACACATTATACACAAATGGAGCACAACTTCTCATTCCTCTGGCTACTGTACATGATGCAGAGCCACACCGGCCATGCAATCATACATGTATATAGGGTAATAATATCCATTTCATTCCATCATCCTTCTCACTCCCACACCCCCTCCCCTCCACCCAATCCAAAGTTCTTTCACTCTTCCCTAGCCTCCACCCTACCCCCCATTATGGATCAGCATCCACTTATCAGAGAAAACATTCAGCCTTTGGTTTTTTGGGAGTGGCTTATTTCGTTTAGCATGATATTCTCCAGCTCCATCCATTTACCTACAAATGCCATGATTTATTCTTCTTTAATATCCTCTCACTTTCTAAATGTATGAAATGTGAAAGTTAAGTTAGAAATTCTTTATATCTGGCTCTGAAGAGTAAATAAAAAGTTAATCTTTTAAAAATTGTCATGGGCTGGATATGGTAGCACCTGCCTGCAATCCTAGGCTGAAGCAGGAGATTGCAAGTTTGAGGCCAGCCTGGGCAACTTAGTGAGACTCTATCTCAAAATAAAAAGGTCTACGAATGTAGCCCAGTGGTACAGTGCTCCTGGGTTTAATCCTTAGTAATAATGGTGATAGGAGGGGTATTGACTTGGGCTGGAGGTGCTTGCCTAGCATATGTGAAGCCCTGGATTTGATCCCAGCACCACAGAAATAAAAAATGAAAAACTGGCTTGATTCAAGTAATTTTTTCCCCCCAGAAATCTTCCTGCTAAATCTGTGGAAGAAGCTTTACGTCACCGACAAGAATATGATGAGATGGTGGCTGAGGCTAAAAAACGAGGTATAAAATTTAACTTTAAGTGGGATAGTTAATTTTCTGATTTTAATAAGTTAATTTTGATAGGAAGATAGTGAAATTTATAAATTCTGTCTTCAAGGTGATACTGAATTCTTTTTCTCTACTACTATTATAATTAAGTTTGTTTTTAAAGAGGAGTAAGTGCATAATTTTTGTGCAAGAACTTTTACAAAACTAACAAGAGGAGAAAGATAACTGACTGTCTATATCTTGAAATTGTAGTCATAAAACTTGGACTCCTACTGTCTCAGTTTATAAATGAACATATTCATGAATTTACTTATACATGTCATTTTTTACAATGTTTAGATTTTTGATATTTAATAGTTTTTAATATTTAAAGATAACTTCTTAAGTGGCTGTGAGAATATAATCTACATTTGTGACTTATAGTCTCTCCAGTCTTAAATTTTATTATTTCATGAATATAAACTGACATTTCTTTTTTAATTTTCTTCTCCAGTCCAAAAAAGTAATATAAGAATACCTTAACAATATTTATATACTGACCATTGTTAGTTCAGGATAAATATGTATTTTAAGAAAATATTACACAGCTAATATTTTTTTAGAACTATTAACAACTGATTTTTTTTCCTTTAACTTATATAAATGGGATATTACAATAGTATACAGTTCTGGTTTTGTTATATTTTGGAAATTAAGTTGCTTATTTATTGTTAAACAGTATACATAAGGCCAGTTATATCTTTATAAAATGCCTGCACAGAGCTGGACAAGGTGGCGCACGCTTGTAATCCTGGTGATTTAGGAGACTGAAGCAGAAGGATCACAAGTTCAAGGTCAGCCTCAGCAATTTAGCAAGGCTCTAAGCCACTTAGCAAGACCTTGTCTCAGAATAAAAAGAGCTGTGACTCAGTGATAAAGTGCCTCTGGGTTCAATCCCTAGTCCCCTCCCCACCAAAAAAAAAAAAAAAAAATTAAACATTAACTGAGTTTATTTTACTATACAGAATTTGAACTATTTCTAACATACCCAGTGAGATTTTACTGGCTTCTAACATTGACTTTACTATTTGATTAATATTTCAGATAGTTATAGATAATTCAATGATCCTTAAAAATATATGATATAAATTATATTAAATTGTGAAATCAAAAGGCCACAACTTTAATCTTATTAGATCTTATTGTGACTTTGATACTTTAAGTAGGCCTAATGTTAGTTTCCTAATCTGTAGAATATGGGAGGAAGTTGACTAGATCCGGTTTTTCAAACCTCCCTTTAATACTTTTTTTGTAGTACTGGGATGGAACCTGGGGCCTCATGCATGCTAAAAAAGCACTATACTACGGAACTGCATCCCCAGGCCAACATTCTTTTTTTTTAAAGCAGTGGAATATTTTACATATAGAATCTAAATACATTAAACAAACGTAAGAAAGTGGAGCTACTTTGATATCCTCCTTGCCCCTCAGGATAGTTTCTGAGGCATATATGAAATAGGTTGAAAATAGTTTTGCTAGCTGATCTCTAAAGTCGTCACTGGTTCTAAAATTATATACAATGCTTTATATATATGATTTATGATTTATTTCTCTCTTCACTTATTTTTCTGAAATTGACTTCTGATTTCTAGACATGTTATTTTCTGCAAACATAAGTTTGTGGGGGGAAATTTTTTATTTCAATCTAATTAGTAATGTGAAACATCATATCAAAAAAGGCTCGTATACTAATAGTGCTACCAAAATTATTTTTCCAGCTCTTTTTTATTTTTTTAATTAATTAATTTTTATTAGAATTTGTTGAGTTTGTAGCATAAGTGATGGAATTATATAGAGAATTTTAAGACTCAGAGGGGTTGAACTGGTCTGAATGCAAAAACTGACAACCCCTTGGATAGTGTTATCTTTTTTTTTTTTTTTTAAACTGGGAGTGAACCCAGAGTTGTTCTACCACTGCTTTTTTTTTTTTCTTTTTTTTTTGGAGACTTGGTCTCACTAAGTTGCCAAGGCTGACCTGGAACTTGTGATCCTCCTTCTCAGCCTTTGAAGTCGCTAGGATTATAGGCATGTGCCACCACACCCAGCTGCTCTAGCCCTTTTAAAAGTTTTATTCTTGAACTTGGCAAAATGATTTTTAATGTCATGATGTTTATTATTAAGAGATTCATAAGCCTCTCTGTGAAAAATGAGTATTGGTTAGTTGCTCATAGTTGTTTCTTTTTTACATAGTTAATGCATAAAGGATTTTACTTTGTACCTTAAGTAAAAATATAAATATGTGAAATAGCAATTTATTATGGGAATGATTTTTATCGTCTTTATTCCATTTAGGTTTTTTTTACATAATACCTTTATTTTATTTGTTTTTTTTTTAGAGAGAGAGAATTTTTTAATATTTATTTTTTAGTTTTCGGTGGACACAACATCTTTATTTTTTATTTTTATGTGGTGCTGAGGATCGAACCCAGTGCCTCATGCATGATAGGCAAATGCTCTACCACTGAACCACAACCCAACCCCTCCATTTACTTTTGTAGAATAGAATATTATTTTAAAATTATGTAAATCAAGACCATTTTTTTCTCTCTTCCTTTCCTACTTTCCCTTTCCTCCTCTCTACCATCACAAGATTCTTTTGAGAAAACCTCTTTTTTATAGTTAGGTAGACGAAGGGGGTTTTGATCTAGCTCATTTGTACTGAAATAATTCTTACTTTTTTAATATAGAAATTAAAGAAGCACATAAAAGAAAAAGAATAATGAAAGAACGGTTTAAACAGGAAGAAAATATTGCAAGTGCAATGGTAATTTGGATCAATGAAATACTGCCCAATTGGGAAGTCATGTAAGTAAGCATACTTTTCCTGAAGTACATATCCAAATTTCTTGTCTTTCCAGTTTTATATTTTTATTACTTTCTGTCAGGTATCTTATGCTTTGGCTAAATTATACCACTAATCAATCAATGCCTGAAAATCTCCATGTTTATCTTTATGTCTTTGCTTTTATAAATCCCTCAGTTTCTAATATGTACTTCTCTTACTGGCCATTTTCTGTGCCTATCAAAATCTTTCCCCTATCCATTGCGACTCATCTAAAAAATTTTAGTTGATTCATGAAACTTTTAGTCTCCTTACTTACCAAATTTTCTTCATTCTATTATACCATTAATGTAAGATGCATTATTGATATAATAGCAGGTTTTAGAACAAGCAAACATATATTCATTTTAAGATCATTTATCAAGTATTAAAGTGTTGTTAAAATGCCTCTCTCACAATTAGGGAAATGTGTTATAGATAATCTTTCTCTTCAGTAAATGTCTCATCATCATATTTTGAGACTAATATACTTCCTGCCTTATTTTGACTTTTGGTTTTTGATAATATTTTTGTAAATGCTTTATCTTCCCTCTGGACTGGAGGGTTGGGGATATCTTCTGCAGTGCCTAGTCTAGGATGTACATTGATGATTTGTTTAATATTAACAATGTGAGACATAGAGTAGACCTACTTTATCCATTTCTCTCTCTGCAGTTTCAGTTACTTTGTGTTCAGCCAAGGTCTGAAGATATTAAATGGAAAATTCCAAAAATAAACAATTCTCAAGTTTTAAATCATGCAGCATTTTGAGAAGTGTGATAAAATCTTGTGCCATCACTCTGTCCTGGTTGTAAATTGTCCCTTTTCCTAGCATATCCACATTGTATATCCATGCTGTATATAGTATCTGCCCATTAGTCACTTAATAGCGTTTTTGGGTATCACAACTGCTGTCATGGTCTTGCAGTGCTCATGTTCAAATAACCCTTCTTTTACTTATTAATGGCCTCAAGTGCAAAAGTAGTGATGCCTGTAATTCAAACATGTCAAAGAGATGCTTAAAGTACTTCCTTTAGTTGAAAAGATAAAAGAACCAGATTTTTTGAGAAAATGTAATTTTTATTTCAGTATTTTTTTTATAAATGTTAAAATTTCATTATTGTTGTTAATCTTTTACGTGCCTAATTTATAAGCTTAGCTTTATTGTAGGTATGTCTATATTAGGAAAAAAACATGGTATGTATTGAGTTCTGTATTGTCTGAGGTTTCAAGTATCCACTAGGAATTTGGAATGTATCCCCTGAAGAGAAGTGAGAGGACTACAGTGTTATATTATGTTTTTATACAAGTAATCACATGTAATTCTTAGTAATATTATAAGGTGTTTGTATTTTTGTTCACATTTATCTTACAGGAAAGCTCAAAGTTAGACAGGGTTAAGTGATTTGCCCAAGGTTATACAATTAGTGAATACACTAGATTTCAACTCAGGTCTGACTGCAAAGCCTACACTCTTTCAGCAGACTACTGCCCCTCAAAAACTAGGGCCTTACCTATAATAGATTCTTTGTGATTTTTTTTTTCGGTACTGGATTGGCCACACATTTTATGCCCCTCTTATCCTGGTTTTTATAATTGTCCATATATTTCTGATTCTTATTGTATCTTTAGTTTAAGGGGTATCTGTCAAAGGTAGCCCTCTTCAAATTAATATTGTCCATCTTTGAGGTAATGTATATTTTGTAGGCTTTTGTTGTCTATAAGCATGAAACCCAGAGGAAAGAATGTGTTACATATTTAACTCTCTGTATTCTTGAAAACTATCTGATCACTTGGCCGTAGGTAAACCATCATGCAACTAGTATTTTTGGTATAAAAAGTAACTTTCTCCTTTTTTCTCCTCCTTTAATTCTAGGCGTAGTACAAGAAGAGTTCGAGAATTGTGGTGGCAGGGATTGCCCCCTAGTGTTCGTGGGAAAGTTTGGAGTCTAGCTGTAGGAAATGAACTAAATATCACTCCTGGTTTGTATTCTATGTTCAGTTATTCCCACACATACAAATAGTCATTTCCAGAGTTATAAAGCAAATTAGTAGAATGGCCTTTTAAAAAGGCACTACCATAAATGTCATTTTAAGAGCATGCTTCATTCCTTGCAAACTTTGTATGACTTAATAAGTTACTACATTTCTTATTATATAAATAAGATTGTGGTTTTTTCCTTTAGTGTACATCTATCAGTATTATTCTTGACATTCAAATATTATAAACTTAGTCAATTTCAAAAACTTCTAAGAGTCTATAGCAATGAGTGAATATATATATGCAAGGACAGAGAAAATAGTCTATGTGCAAAGGCTTCCCCTTTACTCAAAACCAAATATTGCAGAAAGGCTGCAAATGTCTTCCTACTTTTCTATCCATATCAGTCCTTTTGGAGTTTTTTTTTTTATTTAAATTTTTGAAGTTTAAAAATCAGAAAAAGTAAGGAGACTCAAGGAGTTTTCTTATTTAAGTTTCTAAAAACCTTGACAGATAGTAGTAACATGTAAAATAATTTTAATGAATTAAAGTTTAAATAGAATTATGATGCTATTGAATAGAAAAATAACAAAATGGTGCCAAATAGGTCTGAGTGAAAATGTTAGTGCTAGACAACACTACAGAAAGATTTAAGATCTCTTAATAGAGATAATATATTGTTATTGTAACTTTTGAAGTTTTTCTTTTTGTATTTATTGAAAAAAATGCATATTTCAGGTGTGATGGCATATGCCTGTAATCCCAGCTACTCAGAAGGCCGAGGCAGGAGGATTACAAATTTGTGGCCTGCTTCAGCAACTTAGCAGAGCCCTATGCAACTTAGACAAGACGCTGTCTCAAAATAAAAAGGACTGGGGATGCAGTTCAGTGGTAAAGGGCCCCTGGGTTCAATCCCCAGTACATATCACCCCCGCCCCAAAATGCAAGCAGTAATGAAATTCAGACATTTTAAGTATCTTCAATCCAAACTCTCTTATTCTTAATTCTGTTATAAGCACTATAGGCAATTTGGTATCTGATCTTCTAGATCTTTTCTCCATGTGCATGAAAAGTGTCCATTTACATGTAATCATTGTTAAAGTTTTCTTTTTTCTTTATTTTTCCACAAAAAATGAGTTTATGCGGGCTGGGGTTGTGGCTCAGCGGTAGAGTGCTCACCTAGCACTTTCGAGGCTCTGGGTTCGATCCTCAGCACTACATAAAATTAAATAAATAAAATAAAGGTACTGTGTCTACCTACAACTAAAAAATATTTTTTTAAGTAGTTTATGCCTTAAGATTATTCTGTGGCTTGTTTTTTCACACTAATTTATCTTGAACATCCCATGTTAGTACATAAAGTCTACCTCATATGTACTGTAGCTATATTATATTCCACAGCTTGACTGTATTGTAGTTTATTTGTTTTCATTGTGCTAGCCAAATAAAACAATATCAAAGCCAGGCATGGTAGCACACATCTGTATGCCCAGCTACTTGGGAGGCTGAGGTAGGAGGATTGTGTTGTTCCAGGTCAGCCTCAGCAATTTAGCCAGACTTGTCTCAAAATAAAAAATTTTAAAAAGGCTGGGGATGTAGACTCAGTGCTTCAATCCCCAGTACCAAACAAAGAATATCTAAGTATTGTTTTTCTACCCCTCAAATTAAGGGATTAAAGAATTACATATATGGGATATGACTGAAAATAATTTAGAAATATTTGCCCAAAGTCTACAAAAACATAATCTTTGACATATTTTTCTAGTTCTAATAATTTATTCTGGGGAAGTGAGCAGGACTGGAATAGGAGCTTTTCTGCAAGGATGTTCATTGCAGCAATCAGCATTATAAGTAAATGGACAGAATTATAACAACAATTAAATCTTTTTCTTAATTTTAAAAGTGATACCAACTTTGGATATAATGATTATTTATGATTTTAAAATTTTTCATAAGCTTCCTTGTTATAACATGTTATTTTAAAGAACTTTTAGAAAGAGAGTTTAGCCCATTATGTTCTGTCATCCTCTATATAAGACAGCTGTAAAAAACTAAATCAAACTATTTTATAGGTGTCCTATAAATTTTTAGAGATCATTATAGGTGTCTTATATATAGGATGATAGGAGATAATGGGCTTAGAAGAATTAAAAGTTTAATTAAAACTAAAATTAAATGAAAATTTAACTTGCCCTAGAGAAGGTTATATTCTATATTATGTAGCTGTTCTCTTCAAATAAAACAAAAGATTCATTTGCTTTCTATGCTTGAAAGATTGGAAGGAAATGTTTTTATTTTATAGTCATAAATTTCAGTTAGATTTTAAAAGTCTTGATTAGTGGTAATTTGGAGTTTTGTTTTGCTTTGTTTGCAGTTTTCTTTTTTGTTTGATAACTTTGGTTTTAGAATGTGGGAAAGCTTGGTAATTTGTACATTATAATGTTGGTTCAATAGGTGTTAACCTTTTGTGACACTGTAATCAAAAAGTTCTTTTTATGTTTGAACTTTGTAAGTTTTGTAACATAAGTAAGTCATTTATTTTCAACATAATTTTAGGTCTTCTCTACCAAACATTTATGTATTTAGAAATGGAATAGGGAATTCATTCTCTTCTTATTCATTTGTGGTGTGGATTCTAAATTTTTATTTATTTTTTGATAAGATAATATTGTTTACTTTAGAATGACTAATAATTTGATGCTTTCTTGTTGTATTTGTTTTAATCATGAAATTTATGACCACTAGAGAGCAGTAGCTAAGAGTAATGGCTCTAAAGTCAGTCAAATGTGATTCAAATCTTGGTTCCACTGTATATATTAGGTTTGTGACCTTGGGCAAATTACTTAACATCTAGAAGTCTTAGTTTTCTTCATCTGTAAAATGAGGATAAGATCCTATCAGCTATCTCAAAGGATTGTTTTTCGTGAAAGTGCTCTGTCCTGAGAGTATATGTATCATCATTGTCATAAAATCAGAAAGTGAAAGAAACATGCACTGAAATCAAAGTATTCTGTTAGGAAGTGTAAGATATGATCCTTAGGCCGGCTTCAAGCTCTCTCTTTGTTCAAAAATAAAATCAGGGGAGCCAGGTATGGAATTAAACTGAGATGCAGTTAACTCTTTATTAGAGATAGGAACTATAAAAATCTTCCCTGGAGAGATATTCTTTGATGTTCTGAGATGCATCACTGCACTGCATTTTTATTACTGGAGGAATTTCATGACTTCTAAAAGTAATGGGTTTCTCTGTTGAAGCTTTCTTCTTCTGAGGCAGTTTTAAAATTTGTGTAAAATAATAAAGTTGACCTGACTTAAAACTAGTTTGAAATTTTAAAAAGCGTGAATTATGCTTAAGATCCTGGGTTCAGTCCCCAGTGCCAAAGAGAAAAAAAAAAAAGTATGGAGATAAAGTTTGGTGCCTGATAACCCCAAATAATTGTTTCCATACATTTTAAAATTATATATACCTCTTCTACCAAATTGATGGGATTGAATACAAGTAATAGAAATGTGAAGTTTTATTTTTTCCTTTTAAATTTCTTTCCAAACCATTACTACTAATGAAAAGTGAATAAGAAAGAGAAAAAAATTAAAGTAGCTAGTCTATTTTACATATATGTAGTCAGTTATTTTATAATGTTCTGATTCTTAGCAATATAAGAGTACATGTTTTGGTATAGTCAATCATTGGAATGCTGTGTTTTTAGGGAAAAAAAACGTATCTACTAATGTGGAACAATTTCTAATAACAAAGTAGGATACAGATCAATGCATGTAATCTATTGCTACTTTGTTGCTGTTTCTTTTTTTAAAGGAGGCTATCTGGGCATATACTTTCACATGCATATTTTCATCTTTGAAAGGTTTATGGGAGCTCTGGTAACCATAGTTGTATCTCAGAGAAGGAAACTGAGTTTGTACTCTGTATTATTTTGTACTGTTCATATTTTTTAGAAATCATGTCCATGTTTTACCTTTCAAAATAAAAATAAATTTTGAATAAGAATTCATTTACACTGGCAAAGTGATGCGTGCCTGTAATCCCAACTATTCGGGAGGCTAATGCAGGAGGATCACAGGTTTGAGACCAGCCTGGGCAACTAAGTGAGACTTTGTCTCAAAATAAAAGGACTGGGAATGTAGCTCAGTAGAGTGCTTGCCTAGCATGCCCAAGGCCCTGGGTTCAATTCTCAGTACTGCAAAGAAAACAAAAGTTAATTTAAGTAAAAAAAATGTTCTTGGTGTTTTGGATAATCCATAAAAGTTGGTGGGCAAGAAATACTTTTTGCTTTTCTATCACTGAAATTTGCTATTTTTGTGTAGTTTTAAATATCTGTAATGTATATAAAGTAAAAACAATTAAAATTTGAGAGTTGAGAAAAGTGTTTCAATTTTTCTGTTGCTGAAGTTTTATGAGACTGTATATGGAATCATAATGGTATTCTCAAAAAGTGAGTGATAGGGCACATAAAATATAAAGATAGGGATAAAAATTTTTGTATGTAGACTTTAGACCAATTCCTCATGAAGTACGGTAGCTTTAGCTAGCAATATAATAATAGAGAAACCAATTTAAGGAGAGGAAGAAAGCAAGAACTAACATTTATTGAGGGTCTATAAAGTGCCAGGAGCTTTACATAAAATCTCTTGTTTAACCATCAGTAAACCTCTGAGTAGGTGTTATTTTTCTGTAGTTTACAGATGAAGAAAGCCAAGTTCCAGAGTAGTTAAGTAACATTCTTGAAGTCCCGCAGATATTAAGTGGCAGGGTTCAAATATGAATCTAGGTCTGACTAGCTCCAAAAATTATGCACTCCTTGAGCAAAATGGCATTCCTTCTGCCTCATACTTGGATTCTATATTGTAACTTCTTGAATGGTCAATCACCAGCATTTCTATTTGCTATCTTTCTGGTTGTATAATGAGTAGTTTCAGTAGAATTAAGTGTTTTTAAGTACTATTTTTTTTTCAATATCCACTATACCAGGGAGACCTGACCTATAATAGGTAAAGAATGAAAATATGTGAGTATATTTCTTTCTTACAATTTATAAATTTTTCCCCAGAACTTTATGAAATCTTCCTTTCAAGAGCAAAAGAACGGTGGAAAAGCTTCAGTGAATCAAATTCAGAAAATGATACAGAAGGTGCGATTTTTGTTTTTAATAATTTCAGGATGAAAATCTAATTACTGAAGATAATAGTGTGGTTTTATACCATATGCCAGGAACTGTGGTAACTGCTTTACATACTTTATCTCACTGAATCTTAATAACCTTTTTCATAGGTATTATTCTGAATTATACAAGAGAAAACTGAGGCTTAGAGAAGCTAAACAACTTGTAAGCAGAGAACCTGGGTTATATAAACCAGATTTGTTGTACTCCAAGGCTCAGGATTTAAATCATAGCAGTTAAAGCAATGAAGTAGTTTTAGGCCAAACTCTTACTTAAGGATAGAGGTTCTTCATCTCTCACTGTGACCTCTTGTCTTTCCCCATCCACTGACTTTCACTTATTCCCCAATATTTATAATTCTTATTGTGCTTTATTCTTTGTTCATTTAACTCACCCATAGCCCTCTTTCCCTCTACTCTCATCAATTTTTTTCCCTAATCATTTTGGAGAAAACGAGAGGATTTTCTCTCTCTCATCATAGTTTATTGAGTTTAAGTAAATTTACTTAACCATCTACTGTGCTTTAATAATGAGGAACAGTTTTTCTGTCAGTCACTTTTATATATTTGTTTATTTTATAGAAAGCAAACCCTCTTCTCTTGCCAGTAAGTAAAACTTAAAAATGAACACAGTTTTGGATAGAGAAATGGTGCCTATCTTATAGTGGTTTTCTAGAAGGATGTTAATTTTTTTTCTGTTTTAAAAAATGAACATTAGGGTGGGGAAATTTTACTAAATAACATTAGGGAGAAGACTTGATTTCTGTGTTTATGTAAGTATCATCCTAAGTCCTGTTTCCTATGTCAGTTACTTGTGGGGAATTAAAAGTACAAGGAAGGTGAAGATGTACAAGTTTTAGACAGGTAGGATTTCAACTGTTTCATTATTTCTTTTAAACTGTTATGAAGCATCAAAATTGTAAGAATTAAAATAAAAAACTAACTTCTCGGACATTTTGTTATGAGTAAATAAAGTTGCACTTTGGTAGAAATTGAATTTTTATTCTGTAAGATATTTGAATTCTTAATATTTTTGACTACTAAACTTAAAATAGAAGTTTTATCCCATGAATTAAAATTTTTCATAATTGCCCTTGAAATAGGAAAAGTTTAAAATATAAATCACAAGTAGTGTTCTATTTAATCACAGTTTTCTTATTTCCTGAGTATTTATAACTTACAGTTATTATTTAACTCTTTAGCCATTATCTTTTCAAATATTACTTCAGCTCCATCTCTCTTGTTCTCTTTCTGGTACTTCAGTTATGTTTATGGTAGACCATTTAACAAGACTCTTATACTTTAAATTTTTTTCTCTTTTTGCTTCAGTTTGAGTGATTTTTATTAACCTGTAATCAAGTTTACTAATCCTTTCTTCTATCTAGTATATTATTTAATCTATCCAAAGAGTTTCTAATTTTAGGTGGTATATTTGTAATTCTAGAACATTCACTTGGTTATTCTTTTATATTATGTTTCTTTATTGAATTTCTTCATCCTTCCATTCTATATTTTATGATATGTTTTCCCTATTTTCTTTAACATATTTATAACAGACCCCATTCTTGTGTGTTAATTCCAACATTGGATTACCCATTGGTCTGCTTCTGTTGGCTGGTTTTCCTCTTGATTATAAGTCCTGTTTTCCTGCTTCTTTGCATATCTTAAAAGTTTTAATGGTATGCCAGATACTGTATATAAAAAGAATACACAGGGGCTGAGGTTGTGTGGCTCAGTGGTACCGTGCTTGCCTAGCATGCATGAGGCGCTAGGTTTGATCCTCAGCACCACATAAAAATATAAAATAAAGATGTTGTGTCCACCTAAAACTAAAAAATAAATATTAAAAAAAAAAGAATACAGAAAAGGAAATTGATGTTTCCCTTGCAGAGGAAGCAGGTTCCTTTCAGGTAGTTGGATTAGGGATTTATCGCCTTAATTCAATCAGTAGTTAACCTAAGTTGGGGCCAAGTTGCAGCTTTCAATAGAGTTAGTTCATCTCAGGTTTCATATTACTTCATGGGAAGAACTGTCTTATTTTGATTATAGGCTTCTTCTCCAATGAGATGCTCTCCCAAGGACCACGTGACTTTGGGTGATTTCATTTTACCTTCAAACCTGATCCCATGCATTCAGCAAAAATTCTATACGGGAAAATCAGATATACCAAATTCAAGGCTCCTCCAGATTCCTATGTCACTTCAATCTTATTTGGCGATGAAAACTCTTTTGGTTTCTCTTTCCTCAAGCAGAGTGCTTTTGCCTCTGGCAAGCTCAATTCTAAACCCATTCCTAGATTTGGAGGCTTCTAGGAAGAAAAATGGCCACTGATGTTCACTTCCGTAGGAAAGGTTCTTACCCTCCTGTAATTGTAAGTCCTCTAGACCTCTGTTTATCATCTCTATAGTAATTTTTACAATGTGATATATGTATTTTTTCCCTAGTTATTACCATGGGAGTAATATCCTGCCCTTACATTTTATAAAAACTGGAAGCAGAGTTCTTTCACCATATATTTTTCTGATAAATGTGTAGATATTTTCTTCATATTAGAGTTTAAGTTCTAGCAAAAGTAATATGGCATTTCTTGAACTGTTTCTTGATAATTCCACTTTTAACTTTCCTTAAATAACATATATGCTGAATGTTCATTCTGTGTTTACAAAATTGAACATGTTACAGCCAAGTGATCATTGAAATTTTATCTACTTGGTAAATACAGGTGTATCTGTTGCTGACCGAGAGGCCAGTCTGGAATTAATTAAGTTGGACATATCCCGTACATTTCCATCTCTCTACATCTTTCAGAAGGTGAGGGTTTCTAACGAAATTGTAACTACTATTTTTTAGTCTTTCAATGTCCAAGGGGACAAATTCTCGAAATGAATAGCTATTATTTTTTAAAAAGCAGAACTAGAAAAATTGGGGCCCGTATACAAAAAGTACAAAACTAGTATGAAATTTCTATTATTTTGCTCTACTGATGGAAATACATTGTAGGTAGCAAAGCACATAATACCTTTTGTGTAATAAGTACTTAATACACTTTTGTCATGGTGAATTTTTAAAATATTAATAATATTTTTATTCTGTAAGATATTTGAATTCTTAATATTTTTGCTTAGTAAATTATTAAAATATAATAAACTTTGTCCTCAAGACTTAAAATTTTTCAGAATTGCTACTGAAATAGGAATAGTTTATTTTCCTATTTAGTTTTTATAGGAAGAAGTGGTTAATTATTTTTAAATTTTACCATTGAAATGGGAAGAAATAGTTTTATAATATAGGGTGTATGATTGATAAACTGAGAAAATTTTTTTCTGTTAAGGTTAAAATTATTAATACAATTTAATTTAGTTGTAGTTTGATGGTTCTCTTTTGTTCAAATTGTATTACATAAAATGAAATCTCTGGGTGTTTAGCTCAGTCCTAGAGCATGTATGAGGCCCTGGGTTCAGGCTCCAGCAATTCCCCCCTGTCCTAGCCAGAAGAAAAAAATAATAATCTGTGTTAATTTTATTCCTATTGTACCAAGTCTAGAAGTCTTTAAAATTGTTTGCACATTATATTGCATTATATAGCTTGCATTCATCAAATGAGCATATTTGACTTTTTTGTTATTCATCATTGAATATTTTTGTTAATAATTTTTAAAATATCTTGGTAGAATGCATTTATAATATTTTTGATAATTGTTAATACACTAAAACTAGTCATTTAGGAAATGCAACAGTTTTTTAACATGTGAGAAATAACCTAGAGACAATTATTCATATAGTTTAAAATTTCATTTTTCTCTCCTAAGGGTGGCCCATATCACGATGTTTTACATAGTATCTTAGGGGCATATACATGTTACAGACCTGATGTTGGTTATGTAAGTATTTGTTTCAATCCGTTTTTTGAATATGAACATTTTATCTATTATCAAATTTCTTATGTTGTATTAGACATTTACAATACATATTAAATATACCTGAATGCTTTCTTTGGGCTAATCAACTTACCTAGAGAGGAGACTTTCCATCTCTTGTCAGGAGCTTATAAGACTGGCTGCCAGCTTTGTGAGATTGCTCCTAGGGATTTTTCATCATTTGATTTATAAAATTTTATTTAATGCTTCTGCTATCAGTGTGATTCCTTTATCCCCGCTCTCACTAAACCTCTTTCCCCTCACTGTTCCTCTATAAAATAAAACTCTTATATTCGGCCAGGTTAAGGGAAGAATAGGCACCTATCCATATAAGACAAAGGAGGGGATTTCCTTCTTTTATGGGGTGTACAAACTCTACTTTTGGCCCTACCACTCAGTTTCAGAGGTATCTAATAACTTCAGTTCCTGAGCCTTACAGCATTTTGTTGCTGAATTGGTTCACTGATTATTGGCTTCCTCCTCTATAGATCTTTTACTTTCAACATTTCCTTTATTTAAATTAAAATTTATAAAATGCTATTAACATCTTTTATATACTGTTCATATTGTTTTCCATTTTCTTTGTTCTCTTATGAGGATTAGTACTCATTTTTTCTTTACTGTTATGGTAGTTGAATTTTGGGAAGGAACAAAGAAAATGTTAGTGTTCAATAGTTACATATAACTAGAAGGTATGAAACCTTCATCTTCTCACGTTTGCCTTAAAATAGAAGAACTTTAGGGTCCTCACCATAAGGTGGCTGTCTGATAAAAGTTTACTTTGTTTTGTTGCATATTCATTTGTATTTGCTCACGCACTCAACAAATATTTACATGCTTATTATTATTGCTGTATGCTAGGCATTGTTCTAGGCACTTGAGATACCTTAGTGAACAAAAGATTACTCTCCTTATAATGCTTACACTTTAGAAGGAGAAAACAGACAATAAAAAACAAACAAGTAAGTCAGGTTATAGTAAAAGGTGATAAGTGCTATGGAAAAAGTATGGTGTGGTAATGGGGAGAATTGACATGTTTGGGGTAGAGCAGGTTGTATTTAAAATGGTGGTGAAATAGTCCTTATGGAGAAAGTGAAATTTGAGTGAATCTTTAAACTCTCTTGCTTCGGGTATTTAAAAGGAGGTATCCCTTGCACACATGTAAGTTGACATTTAATTTTTTCATAGTAAGTTTAACTGTAAAGGTTAAATTTTTGGCACTGAATATCTTACATTTCCTTTAAACGTGGATGCAATGGAATGTAAATACTACTATCATGATTTTTTTCATGATTAGATTCAAGTTAAACATTTTTGATAGGAACACTACCATAAATGACATATCCTTTTCAGTATGTTACATCATGAATAATAGATACAGAATATTCAGAAGAATCTGACTCTGAAGAAACTGTGGAAACAACTTTTTATTATTTTCCTATAATATATGCACAAAGTGATATGCAATGGATTTTAGTGAGCTTTAAATAGCTTTATGAATATGCATAAAATAAAATTCTAAGTGGTAAAGTATTGTAATTTCTTCCTTTTTAGTAGTATATATATTACTTTCTTTATTTTTATATTTTTGACATGGGGCCTTACCCATGTTGTTGGCCTCAAACTCAAAATCCTTCCACCTCAGCCTTCTGAGTAGCTGGGATTACTATGCACAGCCATAATACTACTTTTAAATTAACAGTATCTTATATTCAATCAAATGTAGTTTTAATACTTTTATTGTTTTTCTACCATTTTATTACAGATGGTTAAAAGCTTGCCCTTAGTATCCATTCAGTAAATATTGTGGACTAACAATATAGTCATGAACGAATAGACATGGTCTTGTCTCTGTATTAGTTTCCTATTGTTTTTTAAAAAAACATATTATTAATTTTTTTTAGTTATAAGTGCACACAATAGCTTTATTTATTCTTATGTGGTGCTGAAGATTGAACTCAGTGCCTCACACATGCTAGGCAAGTGCTCTACCTCTGAGCCATAACCCCAGCCCCTAGATTCCTATTGTTGCTATAACAAATTACCACAAACTTAATGGCCTCAAACAATGCAACTGATATTTCTTCAGGTCAGAAGTCCAAAATAGATTTCACTCAGTTCAAGTCAGGATATTGGCAGGGCTGTGTTCCTTCTGTGGGTTCCAGGGCCAAATCTATTTCCTTGTCTATTCTGCCTTGGCTCATGGCTTCAAAGCCAACAGTGTAGCATTTAAAATCTCTGACTCTCCTGTTTCTCTTTTTTACTTCTAAGGTCCTTCAATGACTGCTTTGGGCCCACCCTGATAATCCAGGATAATCTTGTTTTAAGATTTTATTATTTAATCACATCTGCAAAGTCCTTTTTGCCATGTATTGTAATACTTTCACAGATTCTGGGAATTAGGATTTGAATATCTCTGAAGGACAGTTGCTCTGCCTAATACAGTCTCTGTCCTCATGGGATTTGTATTCTACAAAATCAAACAGCCAATTATTGTATAATCTTCAGGGAAGTCTGAGAAGTAGGAGAGCAAAGAAATATGGAATCATAGAAGCTAAGAGAGTACTACTGTGAATATAGGAAACTTCCCACTGGGTTTTACAATAAATATCATTGATCATGCTGATAAGAGAAGTCTCAACATTATATAGTAGTGGAGCAGGAATCCATATTGAAGTATGCTGCAATATAAAAATATCAAGCCGGATATGATGTTGCATGCCTGTAATCTCAGAAATGTGGGAGGGTGAGGCAAGTAGGATCTCAGGTTCAAGGCCAGCCTCAGCAATTTAGTGAGACCCTGTCTTAAAAATAAAACAATAAAAGGGTTTGAAATATGGCTGTATGGCAGAATACCCCTGGATTCAATTACCAGTGCTGCCAAAAAAAAAAAAAAAAAGGAACTGAGAAAGTAAAATTAGTAATAGATAGTAATTATAGGCTACCCTTTCAAAATATTTGGGAAAAACATTGTGTAATTACAGTTATTCTTTGTAGTCTCCCTGTGTACGTTCATCATATAAATCTCTATTAGAAGTAAATAGTTGACAACTTTTTAAAAATTAAAGACATGTACAGTTGCTACTGATAACTCACAAGCAAACATCTATATTCCTTGGCTTTTTACTCAAGGCCTTTCATAATACAAATATATCCTACTTTTCTCAGATGTCTTCCATTTCTCATAAATCTTGTGCTTCACCTGTTATTCCCATTTCTTCTGTTATGCCTGTGCTTAAACACCATCCTGGAATGGTGTTTACCCCATTTCTTTCTCCTCTTTACCAGGAATCTAGGTTATCTGAATCCCTACAAACTTCATTCTTAGAATTTTAGCAGCACATTTTATAGACCTCTTTTATTCTTAGTTCCTCATTTCCAACTCAAAAGAGATTTGTTATAAAAATGAAAATAATCACCTGGCTTTCACTAAACTTTGTGATTCTATATTCTATATTTTGAAAGAATTTAGAGAGGAAATGAAAATTGAGTAGATAACACACTGAGATTTTTGTAGCAAGTAAAAATTGATACTTTTTTCCCTCAAATTTTTCCTCATACTTATTAAACTATACCACATGAACAAAAATGTAAAATTAGAATTCAAAACTGTTATGGGTGTTCTGTATTTACCTTTATGGGTGTTCTGTATTTACCTTTGCTGGGAAGAAAGAAGAAATCTTGGTAAATTCTACTTTGTAACACAACTTTGTAATTTTTTAGAAATTCAATTACATAAACTGTAGAGAATCATTATTTTAAATCTGTTTTGATTTTCTTTTCCTCAAAAGGTCCAAGGGATGTCTTTCATCGCAGCAGTGCTCATTCTCAATTTGGAAGAGGCAGATGCTTTCATTGCATTTGCAAATCTCCTGAATAAACCATGTCAATTGGCTTTTTTTCGTGTGGATCACAGCATGGTATGAACATTTGAATGAACTATTTCTTTTGTATGTTCTGTATTCTGAATGCCCCTTAAAGTAAAAGACAATAATTACTAAGGTAATCTGAATTTGAACTTGTGAAGACACAAAAGAGGTGCTAATAAACAAGATTTTCTATTAATGTTAAGAACTTAGTTCTATTTTTCTAGTGTATATTCTTTTATAACTTTATTGAATTTTCTGTCTGCAGATGTTGAAATATTTTGCAACATTTGAAGTTTTCTTTGAAGAAAATCTATCCAAACTATTTCTTCATTTCAAGTCTTATAGTCTTACACCAGACATATACTTGATAGACTGGTAAGTCATAATATACATAACAAATAATAATGAAAAGGAGATAAATTATATAACTTTTTCTGTGCTTAGGAAATATTGTAAATCTCATGCATAGGATCATACATATTAAAGAACCTTTCCTTAGAAATAGAGAAACTTCCACATTTTTATGGGGATGTATTGGATTAAGAGTATGGACTTGGCCAGGTCCACTGGCGCATGCCTGTAATCCCAGAAGCTCGGAAGGCTGAGGCAGGAGGATCGCAAGTTCAAAGCCAGCCTCAGCAAAAGCGAGGCCCTAAGGAACTCAGCGAGATCCTGTCTCTAAATAAAACATAAAAAGGACTGGGGATGTGGCTCAGTATTGAAGCGCCCCTGGATTCAATCCCTGGTACCCTCTGCCCCCACAAAAGTGTATGGACTCTGGGTTTAAGTCAGAATCTCTCAATTTGTGTTTCAGTTTCTTATCTATAAAAGGGATTAGTAATATTTATGTCTTCTGTTGTAGCTTTATATGTTTTATCTCTTTCAAGACCTCGCATGCGCTAAGCTCTCAGAGTCAGTTGCTATTTATTATTTTTAACACACAAGGGCTTATAATAGTTTTGATAGTGTTTATTTACCAAGGGCTGTTTTTCAAAACTTTATCCAGATTTCTGACAGAAGAATGATGCCTTATCTAGGTGCTTCATCTTTCCAATTCAAGATCTGTTGGAACTTAGAGCAGTAGCCAATTGATTGTAGAATGATGGGTGAACATTTTGAAAAAGATGGAACAGTCGATCTTAAGATAGTTTTGACAAGAGTACACATGGTAGTTTAGACTTTAAGACCTAGTCATTCAAAATCACTTAAGTAGTATTAAGCTTTAATATAGAAAAATAAATAAGTGATGTTATTGATCAAATATGATATTTTCCCACTTATTTGGACCTTTTGGGACCTCCTCCTCCTCCTTTTTTTAAATATGTGTGTGTGTGTGTGTGTGAGAGAGAGAGAGAGAGAGAGAGAGAGAGAGAGAGAGAGAGAGAGAAAAGGAGGGAGGGAGGGAGGGGGATTGGGGATTGAACATAGGGCCTTGTTAGGAAAGCTTTTTTAAAAATTTCATTTTGAGCACCAGGCTAGTGATCCTCCTGCTTCAGCCTCCCTAGTAGCTAAGAATACAAACCTGTAATTCCAGCTTGGGCCTTCTTCTACTCAGGCTTTTTAAAAAAAAAACTTGAGTTAATTTTCAATGTATGCTCTTCCATTTTCACTAGGAATATTAGAGTTCTTCCCAAGATAATGGGAGAGGATTTTATATCATGAAACCCAGAGAATTGAGATCAAATACTAATTCTGTGAGGAAGGGGTGGAAAGAAACCCTTAATTTAAGAAGTAGAGATGAACTTTTATTTCACTACCCTTGTTGAACTTATTACATACAAATCCCAGAATCATTTTTTCAAGATAAGAATGAGTAACTGGCAGTTCTAAATTTTTGTTTGTTTTGTTTTGTGGGAGAGCCTTTAGTTCCCTTCAGATTCCATCAGCCCTACCTCAAACTAATCAGGGAAAAAAGTTGTATCATGGACTGGATTGGTGGAGTGCTTGCCTAGCATGTATTGAGGCACTGGGTTCGATTCTCAGCACCACATGTAAATAAAATAAAGGTCCATCGACAACTTTAAAAAATAATTTTTAAAAAGTTGTGTCCTTTTATTTGCTAAGGCAATTTTAAGACAAGTCTTCTAGTACCTATTCTCCTACTTCCCAAACCAGAATGCCACCTGATGCACCATTGGATAAAGAATAACACGGTCAGACACTGTTAGAAAGGACAAGAAAAGCCATTTTGGTGATTCTATTGGAAAGGAAGTAATAAGTAAAGCTTGGTAGAGGAGCAAACAAAACAATGGATGTTTGCTGGAAGGGGAAGTGAATTATTATAAGGTTTTATTAGGTTACTAAAGATGATATCTAGCTTCCTTATACACTAACAATAAGTAATTTTTATTGAACATTCCTTTTCCTTTTTCTTTTTTTCTCTCTCCCTTTCTTTTTTCTTTTTGGTGATGAAATTCAACCCAGGGCCTTGCATATGTTAAGCATGCATTGTCACGGAGCTATACCCCCAGCCATGAATATTTCTTATGTGCTTAGACACCACTCCAAACACTTTGTATTTATTAATTCCTTTAATTTTCAAGGCAATCCTAAGGTAGAAAGTATTATTATTTTTTAGTTTACTAACGAGGAAACTGAGGCACAGCAAGGCTAAATATCTTGGTCAAGGTCAAGTAACTCAGTGGCAAATTGAAAATTCAAACCCAGATTCCATACCCTTACCACTACACTATTATACTAATCTGGAGTTTGTATTAGGCTTTGTCTTTATGTAAGATTGTGAATTCACATAATTTTATTATTTATTACTTAATTTTCCATTATTCAAGTTTAGGGAATAAGCCATATTATTTGCTGTTGTAGCCCTAATTTTTTTAATTGAACTACAGACCACAATAATCATTTATTTATCATCATTTTTTTATAAAGATGCTTAATGAGTGAATGAATTAATAATGAAAAACTTCAAGACTATTTTTCCTCCTAATTTTAGGATCTTTACACTCTATAGCAAGTCACTACCACTTGATCTGGCCTGTCGAGTCTGGGATGTATTTTGCAGAGATGGAGAGGAATTTTTATTTAGGACTGGATTAGGAATCCTCCGATTATATGAAGATATTCTCCTACAGATGGATTTTATTCATATAGCACAGTTTCTAACTAAATTACCAGAAGATATCACATCAGAAAAGCTCTTCAGTTGTATTGCAGCCATTCAGATGCAGAATAGCACCAAAAAATGGACTCAGGTAGAATGGCACTTTAAAGTTTGTAATCGATATGCTAAAATAATCAGTTGGCTTCTTGTAAAAAAGTTATATATTTCTGAAATGTTAGTGTATGAGTTCAAAAATGTAATATCTTTAAAAAATAATTTTGGGCTGGGCATGGTGGCACATGCCTGTAATCCCAGTCGCTCAGGAGGCTGAGGCAGGAGGATTTCGAGTTTAAAGCCAGCCTCAGCAACTTAGCAAGGCCCTAAATAACTCAGTGAGATTCTGTCTCTAAGTAAAATACAAAAAAAGGGATGGGGATGTGGTTCAGTGGTTGAGTGCCCCTGGATTCACTCCCCAGTACCAAAATAATAATAATAATAATTTAGGGCTTTGAGATTTGGTGCTGGGGATTGAACCCACAGCCTTGTGCATGCAAGGCAAGCAATCTACCAACTAAGCCATATCCCTAGCCCTCAATAATTTGGGGCTTTGAAAAAGCAAGAATGTAAAATAGATTATCTTTCTTCTACATGTCCAAATTTATAGCTTTATTTTTATGTAAGTTCAGTAGTACTTTTTATTGAACTTCAAATCACAATGATCATTTGTTTAGCAGAGCTGTTAAATAATTACTTAGAGGGTCTGGGGTTGTGGCTCAGCGGTGAAGTGCTTGCCTAGCACGTGCGAGGTGCTGGGTTCAATCCTTAGCACCACATAAAAATAAATAAATCAAATAAAAGTATTATGTCCACCTACAACTAAAAAAATATTTTTAAAAATTACTTAGATATCTGAAATAAACAATGATTTTATTAAACATCTGCTATGTACTAAAGGTTGGCAGTAGAAAGACTCTAATATATAATCGTGGCTTTCTTTTTTTTTTTTTTGGTACCAAGGATTGAACTCAAGGGCACTCAACCACTGAGTCACATCTCCAGCCCTATTTTGTATTTTATTTAGAGACAGGGTCTCACTGAGTTGCTTAGGGCCTTGCTGTTGCTGAGGCTGGCTTTGAACTTGTGATCCTCCTGCCTCAGCCTCCCAAATGGCTGGGATTATAGGTGTGCACCATTGCACCCATCTTAATCATGGATTTTTTGACTGTATTGTTTGTGAAGGGAAATAACAGTGGTCTAAGTTAGGTGACATAAAAGAAGCATTATGTCTTGATCTATTAATGATACAGACAATTGGCACTATAAGTGCACAGATTTATTGCTTATGAAAATGGACTGTAGGAATGACTGTTGGTCCAGAAAATGTTCTGTTACTAAATACTAATATAAGAATATTTGGCAATTGATGAAAATTGGAATTGAATCATATTCCATAAAATTAGGTTTAAAAAAATTGGGATTTGAGAATGAAAAAATTTCAGGGATAATTAAATGTACTAAAGATTTTTCATGTTTATATGCTATAGTTATTTAATCTGTCACTTTAATCTGGGTGGTAGATCTTGAGGACTAATCTTTATTTTATATAATTTCCAGGTCTTTGCATCTGTAATGAAGGATATTAAAGAAGGAGACAAGAACAGCAGTCCTGCTCTGAAAAGCTAATCTTAAAAATTAACAGACTAACTGAAATATAAAAAATGTAGGTTTTTTCGGGAGGTGGGGGGTGGTGAAAGTTTTCTGTGTTCTATGTAAAAAGCATGAAAGAAAATTGTTGGAGAATCTAAAAGAATCAAGAGGTGGAAACTGCTGATTTTAAATTCCATGGCTGAAGCAAAGGAAATAAGGAATTTCTTAACAGTATTAATAAAAAAAGTATTTTGTAGGGAGAGCCATTTTTCAGAGGAAAAAGTCTAAATGGTTATTACATACTCCATAATTTGGAGTAAACAGTTTAATGCAATAAATTTTTAAAATAGCTTCAAAGATACTTCGAATTTTTACATCTTTTCTTTTTTAACAATTACCACAAAGGCACTATGGAGGTCACTTAGGATTGTTAAATACTAATTTAACCTCTGAAATACTATAGTATGGTATTATCTCCAGTTCTGACCATTTGCAGATATTTTAGACCAAGAATTAGCAACTTTGATTGTAAACTAAGTCACTGAAATTGTTTATCTTTGTTCACAGGTTGGGGCAAATTTAAATTATCTGGGAACTGGAACATTAGTAGGAGATTGTTTCTTGTTTAAATGTTTTCGCACAGTATTGTGTCTATTCGTTTTTGATGGGAAATTCTTTTTCTTCCTTAAAGAATTCTTACCATTCAAATATCTGTAGTCTTTCTGTTCTAGTATAACAAATTGTTCACCTAGTAATTTAACATTAAGAAAACTAAATAACTGATAAAAAGGAAGTTATTTGCACTTTAATGGACTGAAGACTTGACTTTGGGATTAAAGTCCAAAAATATAATGAGATTTTTCACTGGTTAGAGTAAAAATTAATGAATTCTGAGAGTTCTTAAATAGCATACTACTTGATAAGACTTTAAAATTTTTAGTTAAAATTCCTCCTCTGTCTGTAGAAACAAAATTTGTTAATTCCAGTTTGAAAATTGAAATCTTATATGTAGCTAAGGTTTATTCCTTGTGAAACACTATGCATAAGGTGTTTTTTTGTAATCAGTGGAAATAAGAGTAAAAGAAAAAGGTAAAAATAATTTTTTAATCTGATGGCATAGCAGATAAATTATTAATCATTGATAAATTGGCATTAAATTTTTTATGTTTAATTTTCAAACCTGAACTAAATCACTCGAGTTTTATGAGTATATGTATAACATACTATTCAGTTAATAATTTATAATGTTTTATGTTGCAGTGTGGTTTGAAAGAAAACCTAAGCACACTGTTTCTGTTAGTGGTATATGTATAGTCTTTAAACTAACAAATCTGAGAGTCTTGTTAGTGTAGTGACTGCCTCTTTAGAAGTATGGGACCAGAGAGTACCGGTATATTTTACCCTATGGGTCCTTCTAGCCTAGAGATTACTAGTGGAATCCTCAGAAGTTAACCCCATCATAGAGGCTGGCTTGGTGGAAACTGGTAGTTTAATAAAATATTAAGGGAGTACCCAGAGTCTTAATAGGTTTCAGGATGGCCTTGTAAGTCTGGTAACTATTTCCTTGGTATTGGTGACCCTAATAAAGGGGATGTAACCTCTGGCTGTAATCTCATTGAGATTATACTACCTGCCTAAATTTAATCTTACTTTTATGCATTCATTTCCTGAATTGGACCTAAGTTACTATATTTCTTTTTCTTATTTTTTTATTATTGTACAGTTTGTTTACCTTTCAAGTGTAAATGTATATATACATATATATAATGTAAATACAAGGATTTCACTAAAAACCACTAGTAACAATTCCCATGTAAATAAAACTTGCAAGCAGAGTAACTACTTGAAATGAGTCTTCATTACTTTGGGAATATCTGTTTAGTTAACTACATCTGGAGAAGAAAAGGAATATACATCTTTGGGGAAGAAAGGCCAAGTTTCTCTTCCAAGGGATACACTTAGACTTCAGTCTTGAGACTTTCAGTACTGGCAGCTAAAATACTGTACTGTATCTCCTTTCTTTGAACCTTGTATACAGGCAATATGTGGTTATTCACATGGTCAGTGTACGGCAGTTTGTTTTTTGATTGAAATATTTGTGCAATTAAAAGTAACTTTTCTTAAAATATCCAAAATAATGTGAGATTTAATATGATGTTTTGGTTGCTTATGTATTCTCTCTCTCTCTCTCTCTCTCTCTCTCTCTCTCTCTCTCTCACACACACACACACACACACACACACACACACCTTAATTGTTGTGTGCCACCTGCCTTAATTGTTCTTTTAGCCCAGGTCTACACTACATTATTTAAATGCTATTAAGATTCCAATAACTAGTTTTAAAGTCAGATTTTGTTGATTTTTTTCCCACTGGTGACTTTCATGTAATGTTATTGGGTTGAGTATATTTGTCTTTACAAAAATTAGGTGCCACTTGTAAAAAAGCATTGAAATTTTCAAACCTTCTGACTTCAGGATAACAGCTTTCCTTGTAGCATAAGAACTAATGCTATCTTTTTTGTTTGTTTGTGTTTTGTTTTGTTGTGTTTTACAGTGATCAACTATAAATTACATTATTGGAGGGTATCATTCTAAAACATAAAATAGTCATGGAATAATTTATCCTACTTCATAAAGTCATATAGTTGTTTTGACTTTTCATTTCCTATTTGGATAAAATTAGATTTGTTTGCATAAAATTAGATTCCAAGAGCATATTCAGATAGCAGGAGTTGGTATAAAAAGTTGCAAAAATGGTGTGAGGTAGCATTGGAAAATCAGATTTTAACTTGCCAACTAATTGACGGATAATGTTAGAACGTCTGGAAAACAAAGTGATTTTTGTACTGAGATCAGATTATTCTGCTGTTTGTTAAGCAGTGGCTGAAAGATGAATTCTCAAATGCAATGAAACCTTAATTATAAGTTTATTTTTACACAACATGTAAAAAACTAAAATTAAGTAGAAATTTAAAAAACATATCAGAGCAATTAGCCTCTTCAGTGAGGTAGTCTTACATTTTAAAAATAGTTTGCTTACTAAGAGTGTAATTGCTGTAGAAGTGGGGTACATGCAAAGTAGGATTAATGAAGTGTAAGGGCTGGGGTTGTGGTTCAGTGTAGAGCACTTGCCAGCATGCCTGAGGCACTGAGTTTGAGCCCCAGCACCACATTAAAAACAAAAAAACAAAAACAAAACTAAATAGAATTAAATGCAGTAATACATATTAAGACCCCATATTATGTGCCAAGCACTGCCTTTTATTATTTTGTTAGGCTAAAGTTTTAAGGCCTGAGAAGTTAGCCAAGTTGCTTTTTCCCCCAGTTTACTATTCATATTAATTGTCTGTTGGACCCAATTAATGAAATTTTACTGTCTACATTTTATTTTCTAATAAACAACTGGGAAGGAAGTTTGCTTTGCAAAACTGTTTTGTTTGTTAACTATTTAAGTAAACAGTACTGTCAAAATTAAGATAAAATGAATTTTGTATTATTGTAATATATTTGGAAAATAATTTTTATAATAAAAATTTGGATGATAAACTAATACAGACTTGAGAGTATATAAAATTGACAACAGTGTGATATATACATTTGTTCTTGTTTTTAATCTCCACTTCAGCTCTGAAGTGGTGCTTCAAATTTTTCTTATCTAGGAAATATTGATAATTTTATAAGCAGATGATGTATTTTGATTGCTACATAAATCCCAAGACATTTTAATTTTCATCTATAGCCTTAAGAAAATTTGAAAGGGAAATATTTACTTGATTAAAACCATTGTAAATTTGTAAAAAGCTCTGAATGTCAGTGTTTGGACTTTAATTTCAACTGAGAAGACATATTGGAGAGTATGTGAATGATAAGATTTATTCTAGTCTTAAATTGTATCAAATGATTTTAAATTAATTATATTTTGGGGCTGGGGAGATATAACTGGGTGGTAAAACATGTGCTTATTAGTATGTACAAAGCCCAGGGTTTGGTCCTTAGCACCAAACACAACAAAACCAAAAAACCAATTGTATTTCAGTGAGCTAAACTGCATTAGTCATAGAATTTCTTCTGACTTAATTTTTAAAACTACTATGTGAGCCCTTAAAAAATGAATGTTTCATCAAATTTTTAATGAGACTGCATGTTTTATGATCTTTTAAAATTTTAAATCAACCCTATCATTTCTTGCTCAAGATCCTCCAATGGATTATAATAAATTCCTTAAATAATAAAAAAACCAAACTTTTGGGCTAGTGATATAGCTCAGTTGTAGAGTGCTTGCCTAGCATGCATGAGACCCTGTGATTCCCACTACTGAAAAAAAGAAAAAAAAATCCAAACTATCCAAACTTTTTGTTCTTGTCTATGAGATCCTACTTGTCTAATCTCTGTCCTTCACCCAGGATGGAATTTTTGCCATTTTTTCTACCTCAAGTTTTGCTTTTCCCTCTGGAAAGTTCTTTGCTAGGTCTTTTTATGGTTTATATTCTTTCAGGTCTCTGCTTAATGCACTTGCTCAGAGAATTTTTCTCTAAATATCTATACTCTCAGCCTTATTTTGTTTCTAGTTGTCTAATAATATCTATGACATCACTAAGCGACATTATTGTATATAGTTGTTGCTTCCACTATAGTATAAACCATGAGGTCAGAAATATTGTCTTTATAATATACTTTCTAAATGATAATATCCCAAATAGTGCCAGGCACTATCTGTGATAGATATAGATAACTAGATTATTTATTTTGGTTCATCCTCATTGAATTTTTCTTTCATTTAAAATTTTTGCTTTAGAGAGATTATGTACTTCAGAACCCAAATCAAATTATTTCTGGCTCAGGAATTTTAATATTTAAAATCTGGGTAGAAGAAAATGTTACTAGGAGAGGTCAGAAATAGGAGTATTGGCTAGGGGTGGAGCTCAGTGGTAGATTGTTTGCCTAGCACGTATAAGGTCCTGGGTTCAAACCCCAGCAAAATGTGTGTGGGTGCAGGTGCATGTGTGCACACACACACACACACATACACCAAAAAGAATATATCAGAAGACTATGAAGTCAGAAAAAAAGGGACAAGAGTATTTACATGGAGTGATTAGAAGTGTTATGGTGATAGATCTAAACACATTTTTTTAAAAAGGAAGGCATATAAGTGACCAACACGAATATGAAAAAAAATGTTCAATATCATATTACTAATCAGGGAAGTGCAAATCAAAACTAAAAAGATTATTATCTCACTAAGTTAGAATGGCTATTATAAAAAAGAAGTGCTGGTGAGGATGTGGAGAAAAGGGAAATCTTGCATAGCATACACTGATAGGAATATAAATTAGTATAGCCATTATGAAGAACAGTATGGAAATTCTTCAAAAATTTAAAAGTAGCTGAGCATGGTGGCACACACCTGCAATCACAGAGAGGCTAAGGCAGGGGATTGCAGTTTGAGGCCAGCCTCAGCAATTTAGCAAGGTCCTAAGCAATTTAGCAAGACTGTCTCAAAAACAAAGATGGGGGGCTGGGGGTATAGTGAAGTGGTAAAGCACCCCTAGGCTAAATTCTCAGTATTAAAAATAAAAAGGGCTGGAGATGTACCCAGTACCAACACACACACATACATACATACAATTAAAAATAGAACTATGAGCCGGCATATGCCTGTAATCCTAGTGGCTCAGGAGGCTGAAGTAGAGGATCTTGAGTTCAAAGCAAGCTCAGCAACAACAAGGTGCTAAGCAACTCACTGAGACCCTGCCTCTAAATAAAATACAAAATAGGTCTGGGGGTGCTTCAGTTTAACCCCAAGTACCCACCTCCCAAAAAAATAGAACTATGATGTAGCAATGCTGCTAGTGGGTATATATATACAAAGGACTTCCAAAGCTGGGGATATAGCACAGTGGGTAGAGTGCCTGCCTTGCATGCACAAGGCCCTGAGTTCAATCCCCAGCTCCACAAAACAATAATAAAAAACCCAGTATGATTCACAATAGCCAAGAAATGCAAATAATATAAATTTCTATCAGTGGATGAGTGGATAAGAAAAATGTGATACACGTATACACACAATGGAGTTATCAATAAATGAATGAGATTACACACAATGGAGTTAGCCACAAAATGAATGAGATTCTTTTTTTAGGACAAAATGAATAGAACTGGAGATTATTATGTTAAAGTGGGATTAGCCAGGCTCAGAAAGAGGTACCTTATGATCTCATTCAAATGGAATCTAAAAAAGTTGATATCACGGGCTGGGGATTATGGAGCTCAGTTGGTAGTGTACTTGCTTTCCACACACCAAGCCCTGGATTCCCGCCCCAGCACCAAAAAAAAAAAAAAAAAAAAAAAAGTTGCTATCAAACTGGCTGGGGGTAAGAGAGCTTGCTTAGCATGTGTGGCCCTGGGTTCCATCCTGAGAACCACAAACGAAAAGTCAATCTCACATAAATTGAAAGAAGAATTATAAGTACCAGAGGTTGGGAGAGTAGTTGGGAGGGAGGAATGGGGAAAGGTTGACTAACAGGTACTAAGTTACAGTTAGATGGGAAAAAGAAGTTCTGGTGGGTTTTTTTTGTTTTGTTTTGTTTTGTTTTTGTTGTTGTTGTACTGGGATTGAACCCAAGATGCTTTACCATTGGCCACATCCCCAACCCTTTTTATGTTTTATTTTGAGACAGGATCTCACTAAGTTGCTAAGGCTTGTTTTGAACTTGTGATCCTTTTGCCTCAGCCTCCCAAGTCACCAGAATTAAAAGTTATGCCACCATGTCTGGCAGTTCTGGTGTATATGTAAAATATATGCAATATATTTTAAAGCTAGAAGAAAAGATTCTG